ATGGTAAGCGTGAACATGTGTTTAAGGAAAAGAATGCTTTTTTGTGACGTGGCTTACACAGTTCCTCACGAGCAGTTCCAAGAGCCTGTAGGTGCGATTGCTTCCTGAGAAATGTTGTGTAAGAACAATGCCTCCTCGCTCAAGAGGGTCAGTAGCCCTCCAGAGCCAACAGCTTAGGGCAGGCAGATTTGATCCTAGTCTGACTTTTGTATCAGACATAGAATGATTATTTTGAGACAGAGAAGTTGTTCTCTCTCACTAGAGGCGATGCCCCAAATTAAGGTGCTAGGTTGTATTTGCTCAGTAACAGCTTGATAAGCTTTATTTTTTTGCCTGGAAACCAAACACGTTTTGGCAGTCGGTAGTAGCTTCTGCTACTCTTTAAAAGGTTAAGTGCTTTTTCAGGGCTCTGACACACAGCTGATTATTTCAGATTTGCAAGGTACTGCCTTGACTCGAGTTGCCCTGTGTGTAACTATAGCTCAGTCTTTTCTCCTGTGAGGTAACGTGACTTTGCTTCTCCCCATGGGACAGCTGAGTCTGGTGGTTTCCCATTCACGGTCAACTTCTGAATGCGCGCGCGCACACACAAAGATGTTTATATATGAAATGGCTACAGAGCGTGTATAATTTCTGAACAGGACTGTAAACCTACGAGTGGCAGTTGTTGTTCAAGGTCATTGTTCTTGTGAAAAGAATGACACGTAAGCCTAATTAAAAGTAGGCTGAGCCAAAATAGTTGAATTTTTTTATTGTCTTCGTAGCACCGCAGCTGACTTGTAAACAGGTTCCATCACTTTACTCTGACCTTCCAGATCTAAGACAGAAGAACCTTTGAAAGTTGTGTTTCTGAAAGGGAACTGTACTTTTAAAGCCCTTAGATCAAACTGTGACATAAAGGCATGTTTTCCATCCTAATTCCATAGCATCTTTGTTTTCTGAAAGGACCCTTTTTTGTCACTGCTGGCTGATTTCCACAGGGCTGAGGGCTGGTCTAACAGGAAGCTTGGGAGCAGTGCTCTGGAACTGAATACATACTGCACAGCACTGCTGCTTCATCTGACGCTTTCAGATTTTCTAAGCTTAAGGTCTTTGCTTAATGAAATTTCTTCTTCACTTGCCCAACAGATTTTTTGGGTCGCACTGAAGTTCCAGTAGCAAAAATCAGAACAGAACAAGAAAGCAAAGGCCCCACAACTAAACACTTACTGCTGCATGAAGTTCCAACAGGCGAAGTCTGGGTCCGTTTTGACCTGCAGCTCTTTGATCAGAAAATGCTTTTCTAAGAACACTTTTTTTAATTTATGAAGGAAAACTGAAGCTGACAGCCTGAACATTTTTTTTGGTAAAAGACTCCTTACCCCATGCTCGTTATTAAGCAAGAGTTCCCGCTGCTTCCGTATTTCCTCTTTGTTACTAGTTGCATTTAGTTCCTTACAGCATTCAAAGTTGTTGTTGATCTATGCAAACATAAATGTTACTGTATATTCAATACTATATAGCTCAGTGCCTTTTTATTATGTTGGAATATGTTGGGTTTAGATGCCAATGTTTCCATTTTTCAGGGCCATAAAAAGTGTTAGGTAGAAATGTGGCATCAAGATGTATGTATATTTTACCACTTAGTGTAACATATAGACTGAGGAATGGTTTAGCTCAGCACTAGAATCATTCCATTTGAATCTGACAAGTGATATCCACTGGAATCTTCCCATCTCAGGATGATAGTTTTAAAGATTAAATGCTGAAGAAGCCTTAGCACTGGAGAAGTCTCCGATATATTGTATATTCTTCAAGAATCAAGTGTAGTTCTCTACTTGACTTAGTTCTGCACTGAAATCAGTAGCTCCAACTTGATTTTTCTTTCTGCTTCAGTTTGATTCATCATTCTCTGCCGAGACAATGTGGTTGTGAAGAATAACTAGAAAAAAATATTTTAAATACTGTGACCCACAATAATGTGGAAAAATACTCTTCAGCTTTTGGTTTTTTCCTAAGTGTAAGTTATTTGTGTACATTTCCTTGGTCTTGCGGACCTCCATGTGAATCTTGAAGCTTTGACATTGCCAACATGTATATAGAGAGTAAAATGTAAGTTTATTAATGTAATTTGTCTACAGATGTTTATTGATGCATAGTGATTTTTAAAAAAGTATATTTTATTGTAAAGGGGATTGTGAAATAATGAGAAAAACTTAGAGGATTAAATTCAGGAAAAGTTTATTATAAATTTTATTACAAAGTTTGCTTGGGGGAACTGACATCCCAACACAAATCTGTAAAATGAGAGTGGTTGGAAGCAGAAACTTTCTCTTGGCACCGAAATCAAGGATGGTTAAAAAAAAAAAAAAAAAGGTTTGTTTATAAGGGTTTGATACATTGTAGCCATTTTACTGCCTCCTTAAACTGCTTTGTTGAAAAAAGCACAGCATGCAGTTCTGAGCAGCGCCTGCCCTTGTTTTCCGTGGGTGCAGCAATACCTCCTGATGTCTGACAGTTTCACACCCTGTGGCCATCTGTGTACCCTCCTGTTACAGGGCTGAGTCAACCTCTGTTACTTTTAACAGTTTTCTGTGGTTCAGTATTTCTAATCCTAAATAAAACTAAATCTTGGCAACTCTTGAGAGATTGTGTCTGTACAGTGGGAGTTTGGAGCTTCTTGAACAAGTATTGAGAAAATTCTGGTTTCAGGCTTTGATGCTGGCGTTGCTGTGCAGTCACACTCACAGGGAGGCAGGGACCGCACCGGAACACAAGAGAAACCAATTTGTAGGGCACTGACAGCTTTTCAGAGTCTGTACTGAGCGACAAAAGCGCCCGACACCTTGGTACAAGAACACTTACCATCTCCTCTCCCCAATTATTTCCTGCCTTTTTGGAACACTCTGATTTGCTGCTTGTATATTGTCTCCAAGAGAAGGTCCTTTGAAACCTTGGTAGTACCCTAACGTTATTTTGCAAATAATATTTTGCAAGACATTCACTATGGGAGTTCTGATGATAAAGATTTGAACAAACAAACCCAAATCATCATTTTCTTATCAGTGCTTTCTAAGCCATTCATCTGTACACATCTGCTAACCATGCAGGTAGCCAGGAGTGCAGCCTTCTCCTCCTTCTCATTCAAAGAAAGAGAGGGTTTACTGTTAAACCTCTTTCAGCTTCATGCACAATTGCAATAGCTGTAGCTAAAATTTTGCAAGCTTTCCCATTCCCTCTGCCCACTGCTGACATTCACGCTTCTTGTAATACGTAACAGAGCAGAGTCAGAGCTGTAGCTGTAGCCAGAGCTGCACATAACACCTCAATTCTGCACTGCGTAGAAGAGGGGCCTAGCAGACTTCTCTAACTTTTCTCACCAGTTCATCTCTAATACAAAGACTCCATCACCCTATAAACCAGAGAACATCAGCGCTGTCTTTGTAGGGCTGAGCCTAAGTTAAACCTCCTAAAATAGTAGGTTTTGGCCTGTAGAGCATGGACAGGAGCTGGAAATAACAAGCACAGCATCACAAACATTTCTGTGGCTGCTGGGTAACAGTACTTCAGAACTACGTGTTCAAGACAATGAGTTTATTGCGGTTTGCCATAAGACCTGGCCTGTTATCACTTGCTGTGGCAGAAGATGTAACATACATTTTGCAAATGGTACCTTCTGATGGCTGTGCCTGCTGCTGCAGTCAGCTGGAGGGCAGGTGACGTCAGTGGTTCTCACCATCGTTGTGGCAGCTGAGGCCTTTCCTCCTTTAAACAGAAGTAAAAACTATTGCCAGTCCACGCAGCACGAAGGCTGCTGTAGCCCAGCACAGACTCTTGCACTAGCTCCTTCTCACACCAAGTCACTCCTGACATGTTTCTTTGTGACAAGTTTTCCTTCTAGAATGTGCCATTACCCATAACCCCTGAGTAAAGCCTTGGACGACAAAGTGGCGTAAAACTCTAGGGCAAGGGCTGGGGTGGGGGAGAGAGTGGGCCTGGGTCAGGAGGACATCAGGCTCCCAGGACAGCTCTGATGTTTTTGTCACTGGGGAGCAGGAGTTCCCTTCAGTGTTGTGTACTGCAATGGCAGAACCAGAGAGCTTTCAAAAGGGGTGAATCAGAGCACCAGGACTTTAAAAAAAAAACAGCAGCATTATTAAAAAAAAAAAAAACCACAAAAGCAAAACACCACTCTTCACTGATCCCAAATGCTTCTCTGTCAGGGCAGGCCAGTGGGGCACTCTCAGGGGGAACCTCATCAGTGTGTACAAATACCTGAAGGGAGGGTGCAAAGAGGACAGAGCCAGGCTCTTTTTGCTGGTGCCCAGTGATGGGACCAGAGGCAATGGGCACAAACTGAAACACGGGAGGTTCCCTCTGAACATCAGGGAATGCTTTTCTACTGTGAAGGTGACGGAGCACTGCCACAGATTGCCCAGAGGGGTGGTGGAATCTCCATCCTTGGAGATATTCAAAAGCCATCTGGACATGGTCCTAGGCAACTGACTCTAGGTGGCCCCGCCTGATCAGGGGAGTTGGACCAGATGACTTCCAGAGGTCCCTTCCAACCTCAATCATTCTGTGATACCAGTATGACCTCACTCTGCTCCCAAAATTTAGAAACTAATAGCAAAAAAACCCCACCCAAAACCCAAAGCAAGCATGAGCATTAAATCCATTCAGATCTTCCAGGAAAGCCCCCAGGAGATATTCCATGGTTTGACCTGTAGGGCTGCTGGCCAGGCTGCATGCAGAAAATGCAGGAAAACTCCCCACAAAAAGCCACTTGATTTCAAGGCTCAGCTTGACCATCAATGCTCTACTTTAATACATCCTTCTGTCCACTCCATACCGGAAGGCTTTCCCTTCACCAACACTCCTTTCTCAGGAGAAATACACAATAAAGCAGAATTCACCATGCAATTTAAGTTTTAGCAAATACTCTGCTATGCAGTCAAGCAGGAGGGGGCCTTATCCAGTGTAGCTGTTGTGCTGCCTCTCTGTAATAAACACATTACCTCTTACCTCTTTGTTTGGTGGACATCACTAGCAATGTAGGCGTGTGGTATCTTCAGCCACTCAACCGCATCCATATGTTGCCGGCTCAAAGGAAGCAGTTCTGCTTTACTGAGTTCCTTCAGCTCTCTGGTAGAACATGGTCTTCCTGGCAGGAAAGCAACAAGTGCTTCATGTGAGCATCTACTGTCACAAGCCAGGATGCCCCCCCCAATATGAAACACTTCCAAGGGACACCAATTGTTTAAAATACCTGTCTCGCACTGCTTGATAACGCCTGTCTCAACAAACTTTCTTTGAATGTCTTTTAACAGAGGATCCTGTAATATTGGTATTGAAACCTGTGACAGAGACAGTTATTTCATGTTTACACACCAACACAAGCGCTTTGTCAGAGAATCTCAAAAGACCAAAGTCAGAAGTGAATATCAAGGTTCTGTCGGTTAGCAGGGAAGGAGCATCAACCTCATTTTTAAGAATAAAAACATGAGGGACAGACTTGAGTGGCCTGAGAAACGCTGAGCATCTTAGCTCCTCAGGCAGGCCATAACGCATTCAACAACTCTGCTGCAAAGTTAGGCCATACACGTGAGATCTGATCTCCTGGAGGCAGTTGATCTTGATGAACTCTGCGTGGCATATTGCAATGAAGTTTCAGCTCAGACCCCACAGCATCCAGAAGGGATTTAGAGAATTGATCTCCGTGGATCTGTGCCTGAGTCCTACCTAACTCTTCTATTAGGTACCCAAGTCTTTCGTGCATTTGAGTGAGCTTCTGTAAAGATCATCTCAACTGTCAGATTATTTCCTTCTACAGAGCAGACACCCAGCTTGCCTGGGAACTCACCAACCCTCGTGAGACAGGACACTTTCCATGCTGCCACACTGAATTTGAGATGAAGAAAACAAACCTCCTCTCGCCATTGCCTACTGTGTCTCCAAATCTGGGCTTTACACGGATCCAAACCACGTTCCTGGGGAAAACCATTTTTCAAACACTCTTGGGCTTAAATGCAGCAGGAGCTGGGAGCCATACTTGTTCAGTTAGTAAAAGTAGAACGCGTTGCTCTACACCAGCCCCATAGCAGCACATCAGTAGCACACTCTGCCTCCTCTCTAACCATTAACTTCCTGCTGGTCAAAGGGTGCCCCTCAACCTCACGACATAAATAACCATCACACCTTCCAGCAGTCTGTACACGTCTTCAGGAAGAACGGATCGTACTCTGACAGGTCATACACTTCCAAAGCCACATAACCCTGTGGGAGAACCAGGCAGTGGGTCAGGTCTCAGAAGCTACTAGTGATAAAACAGCAAGGCATTACACAGTCAGGCATGGTATGAACACAGCACCAGAGGTGGCAGAGAAAAGGACTCCTGAATTTTCACATACTGCACCTCAGAAGGAAGGTGACTGAAGTGTAACGGGAAAATTCCTCCATCTACTTTAATTTATTATAGGCATAAATACATAATAAATGATTTCATCAATCATCCAGAAATAATTACAGGCTAAAATGCTAATCACAACTAGGGCAGTCAACAAAATGGAAATTTTGTTCAAGGGAAAATGTTTTGATAGAGAAGGAAACAGACATTAAAAAGAAAAGAAAAAAAGAAAGAAGTGACTGAGCCCTCACCAGCCATAGCCCTAGGCAGGTCACTAGTCTGCCAGATGCGAGCTCCAAGCGTAGGTCAAGGGCATGCTTATATATATACATATATATGAGTAAAGATCTGAACTATACCTAATGGTCCAGACTACAGGTTCATCTCATCAAGAACTCTGCCTGCAACAAACTTCACACTCCACAGTTCAAGTTCCCTGTGACCAGAGCAAGCTGGGGAACAGCAAGTACTACCACTCGGCGTTTGCTATCGATGCCAAGACCAAAGAACACCAGATCAAACAGAAGCTGAACAGAGACTGAAGTCAACACACTGACCAAGCCTGATGCTGAGAAAGGTGAATTACAACCACTTGTCTCCAAATTATAATGCACTGTTTATGGCCAATAAGCCAGGACTTAACTAAATGGCATCAAGTAAGAACTGTACAGACAAGCAAACAAAACATAGAAGTAAAAAAAGGAAAGAACAGAGGCCACAAGTGATGTCCTAAGAATAGTAAGAACAGGGCAAGCATATAAAATACTCCTCCCTAATACTCTCAGTCATTCTTCCAAAACCTTGGAAATGAAGTTTTTCAGCTTTCTTGTGCAGATGATTCTCCAGGGGTCCCAGGAAGGGAGCATTCAGCCCATGGCCGCCTAGATCTCAGCCCTACACAGTTCTTTTTGGCAATCTGTGGATGTGATTTCAAGTGGAGAGCTGGAAAAAACGTATGTTAACCTGAACAGTTCGGGAGCACTGCAAGATGAGTCCAAACCAAACAAAGTGGGATCTGCAGTAGGTTTAACAGGTCACTACGTTGAAGGTGCTCACGTGGACGAGTGAGCCAGGCCCCAAGGACCTGTGCTGTTCCCAGACACTCTGCAAGCACCTGGGCAACTCCATGGGCCTTCAAGCTACTGCTGAGCATGAACTCTGCAGGGCCTCTGCTCCCCAGGATCTGGCAATTCCCCAAGAAAGCAAGCAGCAGCTGCACTCACCGTCTCCTGTTTCTGTCTCTGGAAAGCTTTAAGCCCTAACATGCCTGAATTTTCAGAGTTTTAGTGCCACCCCTTGGTTTATTATTACATGTCACCCCATTACATTATGTGCTGAGACCTCGGTCAGTCGTGCTGTGCAGCACACCCACGTTTGATCCCTTCACACAGTCAGTGTAATACCAATCACACACCCGTTGGCAGAAAGCAAAGTAACAGCCTGCTCTTAAAAATTAGTCAGAAGGGTCCCTTACACTGCAGCATTTCAGCACACAATGCCTACAATATCCTGGACTACCAGAAGCTGAGTTGTGGCTAACACAGCAGCAAGCCAGGCCTGGGGAGCTTCCCCCTCCTTGCAGGCTGCAGGGTGGCACTTCTGCCAGTGCTAGAAGAAAAGTAACACTGCTGCTGTCTTCACACTATGACCAACCATCTCATCATGCATCTCTAGTCCACGTCCCTGGGACTAGGGGTAAGGAGGAGGTGAGAACGGGCGTGAAAAGGAGGCAGATTTAAGACAAAAAAAGCACAGGCGAGCAGGTCACTGGAACAACAGAGAGCCAAGGAAGGGAGGTAAAGAGGCAAGGCTCAGATGGCATGAAAAAGGAGGCAGAAAAGTGAGCTGACAGAAAGATTGAGATGGAGGAACCTGGAAGGACAGTCACAAGAAAGAGAAGAATGGAGGAAAGGGGGAGAAGGTAGCTTTGGAAAGCAAAGGACAGTGGAAAACTTGGAGGAATCATCAGAAGCAACAAAGAGAGGGAGACACAGCACTGGGGAATCTGACAGAAAAAAGAGGGGTAAAACAGTGGGAGATTTGGGGATGGAGTAAAATGGTTGACTGGAGAGAGAAAGGAGAAACCGAAGGAAGAAGACTAGATATAGAAAGGGGTGATGGACCAGTGACAGAGACACGGGAAAGCGAGGAGATCTGGGGAACAGGACAAGGAGAAGCCTAATAGCAGGAGAGAGCAAAAGAAAATGGACAAAAAGAAGGGAGGGGAAAAAAGCGTACAGCCAGAATTCAGTATATTAACCACAGAAGTGTCTTAAGTTCTGCAAAATTTATCATATGCTGCCATGATTAATGCAAACTTTTGCAAATTAATTGTCCTGTTCCTCTGAAGGGCTTCAGCCTGCTTCTCAGACATGCTGAAGACAGAGCTGACACCACAGGGCACGGAGAAAAGGTGGAGGCTGATCACTGGTGCTGTGCTTGTTCAGGGAGAAGGACACATCCCAGTACACCAGCCATTGCTTTTGGGGGACACCCAGCAGAGTCCTGACCTGACACAGAAGCTTGCAAGATGGACTGATGCACACCCAGATACCTACAGTACACCCAACATATCCTAAATCCCAGGACTTCAGCAGTAGGACTGGTTCAGCTCTTTGTTGTTACGTGCAGTTTAAATGCATGGGTCTTTCACATCAGACCTTTGAAAAAGGGAGCATTTGTGCTCATTAAAACACCACAGCTCCCACAACATTTTCATTTCTGGATGGGAAGCTTGTTTACAGTCTCATAACTCCACTATGCAGTGGTCTCCACTGACAACAAAAGCTTGCTCTATATAAAATACTACTCTATTTGTGGCAGATGATGTAACTGCTCCTATTGCTCTATATATCCATTCCTGAGATGCAGAAAGTTGAATTATGGGATCTGATACTCAACAGTGGTGTGAAATTCAGAGCAAAATCAACAAAACCAACAAGTATTTCCTACAGTGACTGCAATTTTTATCAGTACTGAAACACATGGAACTACAGAATCCGCAAGTTGTGTCTATTCACCTGCATGCAGACTTAAGAAAATTGTTGGTGTCTCCCTGTTCCCACCTTTTTTTTCTTTTATAAAGCTTGATCAGTAGCATCCAAGGCCATGAAATTGTTTCACTCATGCTCTGCCAACACACTGCAGTACTGCTCTAGCTGAATTCCTGAGACATGAGAGTGCGGTCCACTCCCTGGTCACAGACTCAGCCTTTGGTTTCAGCTGACAGAGTTCAAGGTTTTCCCCCTAAATGGTCCGGCTCACAGAGGGAAACCCACCACAACGTGGTGTCTCCCTGTATGTAGACCCCAGCACATGCTCACTGTACCAAACAATGCTTGGATGGGGCTTTGGGTAACCTGGTCTAGTGGAGGGTGTCCCTGCCCATGGCAGGGGGGTTGGAACTAGATGGGCTTTAAGGTCCCTTCCAGCCCAAACCGTTCTGTGATTCTAGGAATGCTATTGTTCCTGTCTGATGCTGAACTTGAAACAAACAGCTCTAATGACGTATGTCACCATTACAAAGGTCCTTGGGAAGAATAAGTTACAGGTAAGGCATATCTGAACTCGAGGCTACTCAAGTGAACAGCAAACAACAGCTAAAACCCTGATGCTGTTCATAACCCTCTGTATGCAACCATCTTCATGACATAAATTTACTTCTTGTTGATACCTTCTTTTCACAGTAGTTTAAATAGAGAGAGAGTTGCTGTTCTTTCCTTTTCCGTATTTCTTCGCTTGACTGGCTGTGCATTTTGTCCTCAATTTTCTGCAGCAGTGGCTCTGAAACATCCTTAAGCCATTTCTTGTAGAGGATCTCCTTCTTTCTCAGATTTAAGAAATCATTGTGTCTCAAATATCTGTCCACCTCCTAAGTAAGAAACAGAAAATAAAAACCATACAACCTATTGGCCAACCACGTTAAAGATTCCATGGGTGAAGCTACGCAGCTTGGCTAACCCAATCTGACTGGTCACTGCTGCAAGGGCCCTGTTTTCCAACCCTTTCTGCTCCTCTCTCTCTCCACTTCCCACCACTTGTTTCCAAGCTCTCCCTTTCACAGGCTCTGGCATTCAGACTCTAATTTTTTAAGCTGTAGTGCAAGACCGGTAGAAAATCATTCCCTTTCTCCCACCAGGTTAGTGAGCTGACTTCACTTCAGAGCGGGGGTCTGATAAGCACCAGACGGTGCAAGACAGGCAGCAGGAGAAGGACCTTCTCCCTGCAGCACTGGCCATCTGCTAGATCAGATCGGCCCTCCTGCCCTTAATTCACAGGCCCACCGTCACTATCTCATCATACCCACAGAACAAAAGTTAGGTGCAAACAGGCAGGTAAGTCACCAAAGACAGATGATTCCTAAGTTCATAATTAGAGTTATCACTTCGGTCCTATCCTGAGGAGACTGAGGAGGCCAGAAACTTGTACTTCTGAATTTTGTTTTTCAAGAATACAGACAACTGACATTTTCTCATGTATCACCGATGGAGAGAAAAAACTTGACATGCCGGAAAGCACAGAGCAAATGAGAGAAGAAATACCACTTCTTACCCTCACAAAATAATTTTCCCTGTCCAAGATGCTCTGAGCAGAAGCAGTAATGTCTCGACTTTCATCAGGTACTGCCTAACAAAACATCAAAAAAATCCACATGAAGTAAAAGCAGGAATTACAGTAGGAGTTAGAATTACTTTTGAATTCAAAATAATTACTTGTGATTAAAGGCAATTTATACCATAACCCAGCTGGCAGAATAGCAGAGACAGGCAAATCCTCGCAAGGCTTGCTCTGAATATTTAGGTTAAATGTAGCAACAGCAAGAGTGTTGGAAAAACTGGAATGTCCATGTTCAGCGGGACCAAACCATACACCTCCTTGGCCACCCCCCACTGCGACCACACCTCCACTTGCTCCTTGCCACTGTTGCTCACATGTGCCCAATGAAGATAGCAAGAGGCATCTCTCCACACCTTCATTTTCAATATGGATACAGCCACACTATACAAATAGCAATCAAACAAATTAAAACCGTGAGGAAGTATTACATCAAGGGAGTCATAAAGTTTAAAAGGAAAATCAGAGGAAAACAGTGAAGTGTAAGAGGAAAGATAATGAGAAAAAACACTCCAAAGCAGGAAACTGCCTTGCTGCTGCTGCCTCTGCTCATGAATTTGTCGGTGTTTTAAATCTCAGTCACTGTTGTGACATCAGCCAAGCTCTCCTCTAGCGTAATCATCTTTCTTACTCTTTCTGAAGATCAGAATAGGGAGAAACTGTTCTCTGCATCGTGAATATCAGGACACTAAAACATGATTTAAAAACAACAGCCCTTGCAGTTGTCAATTTGATTTTTAATCAACTCCTGCACTCTGGCCAAGGAGCACAAGCAATACAGACCAAATTCATCTATCGTTTGGGGATGGAGTTCCTCCAGGCAACATTAGAGCATGTAATGGGGGTACCTCCTCTATGATCAGGCAGCATCAACTCTGGGTTAACCAGAGGGATCTTGTCTTCATGAGTCACTCAGCAGATTTTATAAGCAACAAGTGCATAAAGAATTTTAATTCCACAGCAAAATTTATCTTGAAGAATCCACTATAAAAAAAATTACCAGATTTTCAGCATTATGCCAAAAATTCAGGAGGTAAGTTGCAATGCAGGAAACTAAACTACAACTTGTTTTAGACAGACCATGTGACTTAAGCTAAAACAAATTTACAATCTGTTCTGCTTTCTGGGACTAATCCTCAGTTTAGACACTTATAGGAACTTGCTTCACTTGCACCAGCTTAGTCTAAGGGAACAGGCATGCAACTGAGTTCCTATAGCTTAACAAACGTCTACGTTAGCTGCTTTGCTGTAAATGGCATGCTCATAGCCGGTCCCAGCTGGGAAATAAGTTGCTGGGTTAAACCATCAAGAAGGCTCAGCTAGCACGTCGTATGATTGTGATCACTTTCAAATTTGCATGTCATGAGAGTTGCACAGATACTAATACCAGCTTAGGTATCACTAAAAGTTTAAATCGGTTTCAGCACATCCATACTAAATATTCCTACCAACACAAGTTAATCTTCAAATGACCTGGTTTTACTTAGACCCAAGCCAGAGGCAGGGCTGAAACATTCACACTTCATCTGCTTGACCTGCTGCCTACCTCCTGTGGCTTCCACAGATGAATTCAAAGTCATCCTTCCTGCGACCTCCTTGTGCCATTTAAAAACTGAGCTACAGCTATTGCATTTTTACACAAGCCTACCATGCCGGCGGCAGCGCAAGACTCAAGGAATGCATCTGATGCACAGAGTGGAAAATTAGCCTGCTGCTCCCTGTGCTTAATATTAATTTTTAATCCCAATACACAGTGCAGTTTCCAGTCATGCCTGCCTTGACCCCGTTGACCAGCTGCACACTCCAACAGGCTTCTTATCCTGAGAGGAGCAGGACATCATATATCAGAACAAGGAGAGAGGAAACAAGAAGTATTAAAAAAAAACCCCCACACCCAAAACAAATAAGAAAGGGGAAATCTAAATTTCTGGCATGTTTTAAGACCCTTTCATCCTACTATTGGAAACAATGGGCATGTTGCATTACACCTGACAGATCTACATCACATAATCACAGACCCTTTCTAAAACTAGTACCTTAACAGCATCAGGGAGACATGGCCATTTCTCCAGCTGAGAAGAACCAGTAGTAGAACGTACTCAGAACACACATTGGTGAATAGGTGAGAAGTTTTCCTTCAGGATGATACACATCTGAAGAATCCTTACAGAACTGAAGGAGTTAAGTCTCTTCTCCCTGGAAGAGGCTCAGGGGGAACCTCATCACAGTATGCTAGTACTGAAAGGATGGCTACAAAGAGGATGGAGGCTCTCTCTTCACAAGGAGTCACATGGAGAAGACAAGGGGCAATGGGTACAAGTTGCATTGAGAGAGATATCATCTCAATATAAGAAAGAAATTTTTTACAGTGAGATCAATCATTCACTGGAACAACTTCCTCATGGATGTGGTGGAGTCCTCATCACAAGAGGTTTTCAGGATGGGATTGGACAGGGTGCTAGATAACCTCATCTAGTGTCCCCTTCCCACAAAAGGTTGGACCAGATGATCTCTCGAGGTCCCTTCCAGCCTGGGCTGTTCTATGAGTCTATGATTCTAACTAGTCACAAGCTTGTTTAAGGTTTTATGGGAAACTTTCCTACACCAAATTGCATGAAACTCAATAAAGCTGCCTCAAAAGGATGCAGGGGCTCAATAAAAACCATTGGATTGCTATTTCCAGAGTCCTTTGTTCCCCTTCTGTGCTGGTTTTGCCTGGGATAGAGTTCATTTTTTTCATAGTAGTTAGTATGAGGCTGTGTTTTGGATTTGTGCTGAAAACAGTGTTGATAACGCAGTGATGTTTTAGTTACTGCTGAGTTACACAGAGTCAAGGCATTTTCTGCTTCTCACACCATCCCACCAGTGAGTAGGCTGGGGGTGCACAAGGAGTTGGGAGGGGACACAGCCAGGCCAGCTGACCCCAACTGACCAAAGGGATATTCCATACCATATGACATCATGCTCAGCATATAAAGCTGAGAGATGAACACCTGCCTGCCACTGGGAAGTAGTGAATTAATTCCTTGTCTTGCTTTGCTTGCGTGCGTGGCTTTTGCTTTACTTATTAAACTGTCTTTATCTCCACCCAGGAGTTTTCTCACTTTTTCTCTTCTGATTCTCTCCCCAACTCACCGGGGGTCCAATTCTACCCACTCAGTTTAAGCACCGCCGCTTACCAAGTCAGCAGCCTACTCACGCATACGTAAGACAGGCTGCAATACAATTTCTGAATGTATTAGCCCTGCTGACCAACATTAATTTTGGGAAGGAAGATCCACACACTACTTGAATGCTAGATGGGCTCAACCTACAACAAGCTGACAGGAAGGACAGAGAGCACACACATCTTCCCATAATACACATTTCTGAGCGTACCTAGGAGGGACAGACTAAAGCACAAAGTTCCTGCTTAGGAGGACTCACAAATGAATTCTGGGGACAGCAGTCCTGGAGCGCAGACAGACAGACCAGATCACCGTCCAGAACTTCAGTGGTATTAGGTGGTCAGTTCCAAGACAGGAGCTCTATTACACCCAAATATCCTGGGATCCCAGTTGTAGATACTGGTTTCAAGTGTCCTGAACTTTGGTTCTTCACAGTAGAATCTACAGCTGAAGGAATGTTGAGAGTCACTCACCTGCCAAGGCCTTTGCTGATCGTGTTCCCTCACAGATCTCGGACACGTAAATCTTAGTAGCCAGGGAGTCTCTGAGCTATTCACACTACACATTGTTGGACTAGTCTGGGAGAAACATTAAGACATTCAAAAACATATAAAACTATTGTATAAACAGCAAAAACCTAGTTTTCTTACAATTCCCACCAAACAATGAAACAAATCTCTAAAGGAATTCTGACTGCTGATAACAGCAGGATTTTCCTATCACACTAAGTTAAACACAGAGATGAAGTATCAGGTTTATAGTCAGATACTGCCTCTGACAGTAACTGTCTGTCCTCATCTCCATAAGCAATGGATAGTACATTTTGTTTCAAAGAACAAAGTGATTCACAAATTCTTCCAGAATGCTTGTCAGCTTTGAAAACATTTCAGAGTTATCAAATTCTATGCTGAAAGGGACCTGGGGGTCTTGGTCAACAGCAAGTTGAACATGAGTCAACAGCGTGCCCAGGCTGCCAGGAAGGCCAACCGTATCCTGGGGTGCATCAAGCACGGCATTGCTAGCCGGTCTAGGGAAGTGATTGTCCCACTCCACACTGCGCTGGTGTGGCCTCACCTCGAGTACTGTGTGCAGTGTTGGG